GGACACATTTGGTGAGGCCTTCCATGCTTTATTGTCAATTCCGCGTACTTAAAAGTAATTGTTCCCTCCTCGCCCGCTCCCCACACTATACCAGGAGGACGAGCGGGCCCAGTATCCACTCCGAAGAAAATGGTGTTAATATCTTTAACGGTTGAGAATTATTGCTTCGTTCAGTCGCAGCGAAACGTCCACAGGGCCACAAAAGTGTGACTTACGAGTTTCATTTGAGAAGGGCAGGGGGACCACGTGCTCGGGAACGCTCGTGTGCGAGGTCACGCGCTCGGACAACTCGTTGCGCAGTCGCCGATTGTTGGGTTTTGAAACGCGGGGAACGGGACCACCGAGCAAACGGTTCAATCGACCGTGCATCACCTGTTAATTCGGCGGACGTTTTCAAATGCAGCGTCGCGGTAAATCTCGCAGCTTTCGTCACGCACAATCACCTCGGCGCCTCGGTCGACGGTGGACATTGGCGCGTGCGGAGCAAGCCATGCCTAAAGTAGAGATTAATTTAAACGGTGCCGCAAAAAAATAAATAAAGAAAACACGCAACCCAGCCACCGATTCAACCAGAAAACTCGGGAGGTGGGAGGAAAAAAAAACAACAACCATACAAATGGGTTGACGTCAGCAAGATTATCGAATTAAAGTCACAACAGATGGTAGAGCACAATGCTGTGTGATGCTTCATTAGTAGCGAGAGCCGTGTCCATTAAGGGCTCTCGCATCTCGCAAACGAGCACACGGGCAGACGGGGCACGGAGCTGACCCAGCAAGAAGCAGCAAACGAGCGGGCGGTGTGTCCCAGGAAGCGCGGGTGAAACATTCCGCTTGCAAGAGGGTCAGGGGAGAGCGAGATGATGGTTATTTTAAAAAAAAATGAACTTTTTCGTGTAGGAATAGCAATCTTCACCTCCTGCTTCTTTTCTCGCACGGCTCCACTTTGGAATTATCCCCTTTTCTCAAATTCTTATAACCTAACAAAAGCCAGGGAACGACTTAAGCCTTATCTATGACACGTTCATGTGCTATGAAGAAGGAACATTTGCAGAAACGTCACCTGTTTTATATATAAATTGTTCCTTAGAAGGTAGTGATGAATGTGTTCAGCTTTTTAAAATGATAACTTTAGTCGTGCAGTTTGTTGCTGGACGCTCGCATAAATGAGAGGAGCACAAACATAAGTAAAAAATGCACACAACCCTTGGAATTGTTTTTAAATCGTCTTCTATATCGAACGATATGGAAGCAGCATTCGAGGAAGAGAAGGCGTTTGAGAGGACCGGCTTGTATGCCGGTGTTGGCTTTCTGCATCGCAGGATCGTGAGAGGTGGTGGCAGCTTGCGGATGCCTTCGTCCAGCAGTGGATTGACCGTGGCTGATGATTTTTCTCTCCCTCCTATGACTTAATTTATGGCTTAAAATTCTACTCAGGCTCTATGATTCTCAGACAACCCACTGCATTCATTCCATCTCTTTGCTCCGCACATTGGCAAGCTTTGAATGATCCACACGCTTGACAAGATCGTAGGCTACATAATGGCCTGCATAATTGCAATTCTCACTCAGCTAATTAGATGTGCAAATCAGGTTTTTAGTGGACGGATAGTTCACTACTGGTTGAGAATAGCCGCTCGCAATCCAGCCTTTAAATAAAAGGCGACCATGTCTGGACTATGCTTTACAGAACCCGTACAGAGAGCGACGATCGTGAATGGTGATGCCCGATTTGACCGCTTTATGTAAATATTCACAATAAATAGCGCTGGTTCTGGCATAGAGAAAAAAAAACATCCTTCGCCTGAGCCATTCTTCTCTGCACTGCGAAATTAATAACAAAAATCTGTAGCCATCAATTCAGAGCCAGTACACTTTACTTGCAGCAGAATACATGCAATACACCTTGACACTGTGACAGGATCAAGTTGACTTATAGTTGCCTATATAGTGAAAGCCTCTAATACAATCTGCCAAGTTTTTTTTCTCTCTCTCTTTCTCCACATATTCTGGTGTATACTTGCTATAGCATGTCTCCCTTGGCCGTGTCCCTATCTGCCATTGTGAAAAGCATTGGCTGATCTCGCTTGAATAAAATGCACGTCTCATGGGATTGCCCCCTTCTCGTTTGGTATTAGCACTTAACACCGGGTTTCTGCTGGAGGGGAAAAAAAACCCCCACATTGCATTACAGAGAGGTCACTACATCTGCAGAGCTATGTAGAGTTTTGAGAAATTAAATTTGGGTTATAAATCTTCCTTACGACAATGCGTCGTGCTATGCCGCTGCTGCTGAGAGCCACACAAAGCCAGAGTCTTATTTCATCACAATGCGCAAGATTTATTCACCCGGCTTTGACAAGCTCTTGGCATTTTGCAAATTGACACCGGTCAACAACAGTCGGTGCATTACGGCAGCCAGTATAAACAGTGCTCGCAGCACTATATATCACACGCGCGCACACACACGGCGCGACAACAAACTGGAGGCAGGAAAACAGCAGAAGCTCAATACCGCATGTTTCTTATTGATGATGCGTCCCACTCACTCGAATTAGACTGGCGAGAGGACCCAAAGGCAGGCGTCACTTCAATCAAAGCCTAGGTCAATTTTTTTTACCACGAAGATCCTTGGCTTTAATCCTGGGGTGGAATTTGTTTCGTAACAAATTAAATGTAAAATGCTCCTCCATTCCATTACTTATAAAATAAAGTATTCCGTGCTCGAGCACAAACGTAGAGTGAACGGAGACAAAGAATCACGAGCATGGCCGGAGAAACAAAGCTGGCAAAGGACAGAGAGGGGAGGGAGTTCTTTCGACCCTATCGCTGCTCGTCAGCGAATGGCAGGGAAAATAAGATGAAGACTTCAAAGAGGCAAATCAAAACAGTTGTTCATCCACAAAGCTTTTCCACAGGTTGAAAAAACGTGGATTTGGCTTGTCCACCCGGAGGTTGTGGTTCACCATGTGAGCAGAAACACACGGGGGTCATCACCATGGTATGCACTGACGGACGCAGTAAAGGTAGCATGGTCGACATGGTCTCCTATGCAAGGAATGAAAGGGTGGCTCCTTACAACAAGAAGACTCTTCACCTTCCCCTCCTCTTTGTAGCATGGCACCAAAGAACCCTCCAGTCCTCCGGCCGCCGGGTCGAAGTTGCACACTTGATTACGGTAACTCTGCCACTGGACGGACGGTAGACTGACTCACCTTGTCACTCAAGTGTTCACGTCCACTGGCTGTTCCTCCTCGTGTCGTGAAAATGTTGACGCAGCGCCCATCTCGGCCACAAGAGCAAGGCGTACACACGGTTTAATCATGCCACAGTCTGGTACCTTTATTCAGCGAGTGAAGGGACTGCCACACTGCCAGGCCGTAAAATGAAACAGAGTGTTACATCCTTGCGATATCTACACCAGTCTTTCTTGTTATGCATTTTCCTACTTTTTATTTTTTTTAAATTATTTTTTTGTGATTTATGCTTTTGTTTTCTTGCTTACTTAAAAAAATTAATTGGGGGGAGGGGGGGGGAGGAAAGTCTTTAAAGAACTTCCCAAAAAATGTAGTGTCTAAATTGCAAAGTGAATATGCACGTTTGATGACGTCCTTGGACAAAGTAACAAAAAGAGAACGATGAAGTCCTATTTGCGAGTCGTCGAGCAATGCACAAGGGAATTTTCGCGATACAATTTTTGTTTTTCATTCCATCGTTTGTTGACCGCCACTCTGCGTGCATTCAGTTCACCGAATCTGCTCTCCGAACAAGAACTCAAAATCACACGTTACCATCGGATGGTCACGTGAGACGCGTAACAGAATTTCCGTCACGGATTCCAAAAAAAGAGCAAATATAACGTGTTATATATATATATAGAGCAAGTTTTTTTTTTCCTTTTAAAAGTCCATAATATAAATACAATAGTACAAAATTTACTTATTTTACAGGACAAACACAACCGGTAACCCGCTCGCCGTCCAAACCATCACGAGAATTCAATGTCAATTAAACGAGGGGAGTTCCGTCATTCTCGCGAAAGGTGCACTGAGTGATTGTGCAACACTTGGCCCGACGTTCCCCTCCCACACCAAATGCCGAGGCATCTGAACCTGAGAGAAGATGCTGTAAAAAAAAAAAGTACTTAACATTTTACATTGATCGAAATGAGATCGTGTAAAAGGGGCTAGGCGACACGATTTAAAATGCGAGGAGGAAAAAAAACATACGCAAATCAAAAAGCTGCTTATGTACAAATAAGAAGATTACATCGGCACCACCAGCACCGTCATTGTACATATTTACCAATTTTTCGACGAGATGGGCTCGGCGTGTATTTACCGTTAAAACTCAATCTTTATTACAAAAGTAAAAAATATAAAAATAAACGAATGGGAATTCTAGATTCGGTAACACTATGAGTCTGTAAAACAACCCCCTTAATATGCACCACTGTGAATGTAAATACTGCTGCCGCATTTTATTTACACAACGGGTTTGTGTGTAAAATGTGAGTGTGGTTTGCTGAGGAAGCGTCTTTGAACCCGGGCGACGATGTTCGAAACACAAATGGGAAAAACGCGAGGGTTTTGCGACCAGGTCTTAAACAGCGGTGCTGCCACACTCGGTGCGGGTGTTCGCGTGTGCCGCGTGCGTGTGCGCGTGAGCCAGAAAGTCAGAGGGAGGTTTAAAAATCTGAAAGAAAAAAAAACCACGAATGCTTCGCTCCCCTTCTCGTTTTTCTTTTTTTAAAGCACGATGACCTTCACACATCGCTGTTCTCACCGAATTGATGCATTTATTACTTTCTGTCTTTCGCTGTCACCGTACCCCACCAGCCCCCCCCCCCCCCCCCCCAGTCTTGAAAGCTGCCACTCTGCATGCTGTTGTCGAAGGCCTTTTGAAAGACAAACGGCTCCGGTGCAGAGTCCCGGCGTACACCCACGCCGCCACCACCCCCCTCCCCCCCATCATCCCCCCGCCCCCACCTCCCCATCCCCAAAGTCACCCAGAGTCTCCCACCGCGTCCCGGCCAGAACGTCGTCTCAAACCGTCGTCACGGACAGCAGCGAGTTGTAGATGCGGGTGCCGTCGGGGGACCTGGTGCCGTGAGCGAGCAGCTCCTGGATCGTCATCCAGTTGTCGAAGATCTTTCTGTTGCGCTTTTTCATCATCTTCTTGTGGCTCAGCTCGATGATGTTCACCTCCTTCTTGTTGTTGCCGCTCTCGTTGCCGGAGCCGCCCGAGCCGGAGCCGCCCCCCGCGGAGCCACCCTCCTGCGGGTTCTCCTTGAGGCACTCGAGGCGGCTGCGCATCATGAACTCGCGCCGCCGACGCTGCTCCTTGGCCCGCGACAGGTGCTGCTTGCGCTGCTCCTTGGACCAGTAGCGGCCCATCTTCATCTCGCTGAGCGCGTCGTCGTCCGTCGTCATGCCGCTGCGCTCCTCCTTGATCTTCATCGCTCGCTCTACGAGGGGGGGCGGGGGACGGGCGTGGGAAGGCAGAGGGGGGGTGGACATGAAGTGGGCTTAAACACAACCAGGGTACATAACATGATAATCCAGGGGGGTCGCTGGTTCGATCAGCTGCAGCAGCCTCTGGTCACCCGGTCGGTGAAAAATGGGTTCGCCACAGATTGGCAGGTCACACGTGTGGTGGGGTAAAGTGTGGGTTCTACCATCTCTTTCAGTAAGTCTGGCCAGTGTGCAAGAGTAGGCCACAATAGCATGTATAGGGGCTCGCTAGATCTCCCTCGAGTGGATGCCCCTTCCACCAGCAGGGGCGTGAGTAGGACATTGCAGGGGCCGCACCTTTACCTAGACAATCTTGAACACCCTGATGGTTGCTAAATGGGAGTGTAATAATGCAGCCCTCTGGTCAATTCATGAATTGTTGAGATTCATTGTCACGTTTCCATCAAGAATTGTATTTATTTTTCATCGATTTTCTTATTGTTTAGTTTGCCCCTCAATTGTATCCTCAATGTTCTGTTGGTGTCATGTCATGCGATGAAAAAAAAACAATCAGATCGTTTGCAGGGCAGTGCAACCCCTCCGTAAACCCGCAGAAGGAGACATAATAGAACCACTTTCTGAGATCACTTCAAGTGATCTCGAGTTCACACCATCTGATCATATTTTTAATCTTCAGAGCTGGGAATTACCCAAATGACGTCGAGAAACAACTTTGTTGTGCATTCGTCGGTGGCCAGGCCGAGGCTATCAACTCGCTACACTTGGGAGCCCAATTTAATGTACTGACAGCTGCAAGATTCAAAGTGTTGTTGTTTGTTTTAATATTGTGGTGAATGTAGCGGCCACTAGTGGCTGCAGGGGGTCACGTGAACCCATTACCTACAATACATAGGAAAATTATAATCATAGATTCCTACACATGTGATTCGAGTCACATCTTTATGAGCTTAAGAACCGATATTAATTGCTGAATCAATGCATTGTTACAGCCCTGCCAAGAACGCGTTTTTACTGCAAATTAAGTGTAGACACTCGTCCCATCTTGACGTGGATTAGTAAGCTACACATAACCACATGTAAAAAAAGCACACACAAGTAATGCGCAATTGTCAAGATAGGAATAGATGTGGGTGCTTTGAGAATTTTCTCTCTCTCACACAAAGACAAAGATACCCCGTATCGCCTTAACAGACTGTTGGGGCAAGTGTTGCTATCGAGCACCTATGAAGGCCGACACGGCACACGAGAGGGTGGGTGGCCAGCACCACGCCTTTGTCTCCAAAGTGGCGATGTTTACACATCGCACCAGGTACTCATTTGAGGCTAATGCGACCTCGGGGAGGCCCAGAACCGATTCAGATAATCGTCACTGGTGTTGGCCGTGAGCGAGAGTCGAACTCGGGGTCGTCAGGTTCGTAGCGCAGCGCGCTAACCACTACACTACCGCTCCCCTTTCACAAAAACAAAGATCCCCCATATAGCCTTAATAGACTGTAGGGGCAAGTGCTGTTAGCGTGCACCTATGAAGGCCAGAATGGTACACGAGGGGGTGGGTGGCCAGCACCACCCCCGACCGCCTTTGTCTCCCCAGTGGCGATGTTTACACACCGCACCAGGTACTCATTTCAGGCTGAGTCGACCTAGGGGAGGCCCAGGACCGGTTCAGATAATTGTCACCGGTGTTGGCCGTGAGCGAGAGTCGAACTCGGGGTCGCCGGGTTCGTAGCACAGCGTAGCGCTAGCCACTACACTACCGCTCCCCATTCGCACACGCATGCATATAAACACAAGCGCGTGCAATTTTCCGAATGAAACATGACAAGGAATTTGCTGGTTTAACGGTACTTAGTGTCAGCTACACTTTGCGTCATTAATCTTTTGTCACTGGCAATGTGACATTAAGGAGGTTTCACTCCTTAATGTCATGTATGAACAATCCTTATGTTTAAGGGGGTGAGTTAAAGGAGGGGGGGGGGGGGGACGACTCGTCCTGCCTGTCTACATAACCGGATTGACTGCCACGGTGCAAATACACATCTTTGGCCATGTACAATTTACTCAGTATAATGTTCACTCTATCAATCTTAAAAAAAGCCTCTATGAGAGACAACACAAAAGACAGGGGGGGAAAAAAAATCGAAAGCAATCTCTCGAAATTGCATTGTGGTCTGAACAAAGAAATATAGAAGAACGCTCACTTCTGTCGAAGGGGCCAAACAAGATACCACCCTAACAAAGACAAAGATCCCCCGTATAGCAGCCTCGACAGACTGTTTCAGAATGTGCTGTCAGCGAGCCCCTTTGAAGCCAGTGTGGCACACGAGGGGGTTGGTGGCTAGCACGATGCCTGGCCGCGTTCGTCTCCACCGTGCGATGTTTAAGGCGATGTTTAAACATCGCACGAGGTACGCTTTATAGGCTGAGTCGACCTAGGGGAGGCCCAGGACCGGTTCAGATAATCGTCACCGGTGTTGGCCGTGAGCGGGAATCAAACCCGGGTTGCCAGGTTCGTAGCGCAGCGCGCTAACCGCTAAATTTCAGCTCCCCACATAATTAAGACACACGCAAACGTACACATTAGCATGCGCGTGCAAGGTTACCACTACCTTACCTTTCAGCAGCTTGTCGCGAACGGGCCGCTTGGTAATGTATCGCGTGCCGTCGCTTCGGATCTTCACTTTCCACTCCATTTTGCTTTCGGCCGTTGGGGACCCGTTGCGGGTGGCAAAGGCCTCCTTACAGACGCTGACCAGGCTCATCTGGCTCTGGGCGTACTCCACGGCCGACTTCTGCTGGATGAGCTGCATGTAGCTCTGGTAGTGCTGCGCGTGCGCGGGGATGTGCGTGCTGCGGTAGGACGAGTGCCGGTACTGCGACAGGTACTGCCCCTGCTTGGCGCCGCTGGCGCCGCCGGCGCCGCCGGTGCCGCCGCCGCTCAGCTTTTGGTAGAGCTGCTTCGCGCTGCTCGCCTCCGTCGCCGCGGCGACGCCGCCCGCCGTCGCGGACGGCTCCTCAGTCCTGCCTCCCTCCTTGCCGTCGGCGGGCTCGCTCCCCTCCTCCGCCTTGCCCGGGCCCTGCGCTTTGGGCTTGGCGGGGCTTGCGTCTCGGCTGCCGGGCCTCGAGAAGGGCGGCCCGACGCCCTTCTGGCTGGCGCCGCTCTCCGAGCGCTGACTGTCCGTGCTCTCGAGCGACTGGTTCGCGGTGCCGCCGGCCGTGAGCTTGAGCGAGCGTGGGCTGCTGCGGCAGCTCTCCGCCGTGTTGTACGCGCTCGACGTGTCCTTGTCGAACTTCTCCGGCGTCTCCGTGATGTTCGTCAGCCCGTCGCGCTTGAGGCCCGACAACGTCCTGAAGCTGCCCGTGCCGCCGACGCCGCGTCCAGTTCCTCCTCCTCCGCCGCCGCCGTCCTGGAACATCCACCCGTCGGCTCCGAATCGGCCGACGCGAGCCTGGCCGCTCTTGTGCGCACGGATGATACTCTGGCACTCGAGCTCGATGTTGCGCAGCTCCTCGTTGAGGAACTCCAGCTCGGCGTCGGCCACGTCCGGGTCGGCCTTGCCGAGGCCCAGGGCGGCCGCGCTGCTGTAGTACATGCTGAGCCGCTTGGCGTTCTTCACCTGGCACTTGAGCTCGAGCAGCTCACGGAAGCGCTCGCACTCCTCGGGGGCGATGCCCGCCAGGTCCAGGTCCACGTGACCGTCGCCCGACACGGCCGAGTCGTTGCTGTAGCGCATCTCGCCGCTGCTCAGCGTGTCGCGGTTGTAGTCCATGTCGCCGGCGTGGCTGCGCTGGCTCTCCAGGGTGCCCGTGCCGGGCTCGCAGTCGATGGGAATCTCGTCGTCGCCCGGGATCTCCTGCTCCACCTCGGAGCTCTCCTCCTCCTCGTCGTCCTCATTGCGAGTGCTCTCGTCCGTGCGCCCCACGCCGCTGTCCTTCTCGTGCCGGTTGGAGGAGGTGGTGGCCGTGTCCGTGAGGCCCCCGTCCTCCTGATGAGATGTCTGTAAAAAAAGAAAACAAGGTGGTGAAGGCGCAACTTTTCAATGACTCGCCCTTGACACAGCTGGTGGAAAGGCCCCCACTCGAGAAGGGAGCTCCAGGGATCCCCTCTCGATAGGATTTTTCCTTCTGCTTGTCGGTGCCACTCGAGGTGGCCTAACTTTAGTGGTTGCAATTTCTTCAAGCGGCCACCAATAACAGTGAATTACGTGAGAGCCATTTGAAATGAGTGGGGGTTGTAAAACAATTCACTCTTACTGCCATATAAATAAATCAGTCTGACTAACGTGTTTGCTACCTTACGTGCTATCGGCTTCCTCTCTGGCCCCACGACATTGTTTATCCACCATTTAGTTACTTTTCATTTATTATTATTTTATTTTATTATTATAATTTTTTTACCTACGTGACTTTACCGGAAAAAACCTAAGAGTATTATTCACCATTGTTTCAACCGCAGCACCTCGAGATCAAATCGAACCGGCGAACTCTGGATGTGCACGTCCACTCTCACGCTAACTGCTACACCGTGGCAGCAATGTCTGTAATCAAGGGATAATGATAATTTTCACAGGGAGCTTAATTTACCGTGCGCTAATTGATCTACAACGCTGTCACACGACATTGAGCTGCAAAACCACAAGCTTTAGCTTTAATCATCGTTGCGTATTATTATTTTTTACTGCTTACTTCATCACTTCTGTTCAGAAGACTCACACATGAGGATATTTTTACAGACTTATTAAAGAAATGCATAATACAATTATAAAAGCACATGCGATATTTTGTACATATATGTGGTGCGGACGTTTTCCCTAATTGGTTTTGTCTATTCTATAATCTCCCATCGAGCCAATTTAGATCTGCATTTGCTCTTCTAATGCGATGATCATTGTTGAGAAGAAAACCCCATTTACCTCACCTCCACCCCATTTGCATGCACATGAGCCCTCGTGCCAAGACGCTTTAAGGGGCAGGGGACACTGATACTTTGGTCAACGCTGACTCGGCAAGAATCCGCCATGCGGGGAAAAAAAGATAAGGCTAATTCGAAAAGAAGATTTACATTTTTGGCTGCATTTCACAGGGCACACACACACGCAGTGGCGTCACCAGTGGGGTGGGGGGGGGTGCAGACTGCACTGGGTGACACCATCAGAGGGGGGTGACACCAAAATGATTGTCTATAACGTTTTTTGTGCAGTGTTTCAGCAGAAATGTAAACATTTTTTTTATAAAAAAATATACCTGTAGTTAGTTATAACAACTGAAATATTTTTCATAAGCCCAGCTTACACGTACTGTATCAATATACCTACAAGGCTAAAACTCTGTGCTAATTTACTTTTTTATCCTTCTAATGCGCTCCGGTCAGAGCTGTCAATATTACACAGTTATATGCCCATAAATATGCTAAATTCCTCTTGATATGCAAATTATTTTATCAAGGCGCCCTTCCCCCCCCTTCCAACCCAGCTTAAATATACGCTCCAAGCATGGTGCTGTTTCATTCAGACGCTGTCTCCCCGACAGACCTGGTCTTTACCTGATGACGGCTGCTTGCGTTGTGGCCGAAACGTCGTGAGAATTATTTTATTTTGTTTTATTTTATTATTTTTATTGTTTCCATTCTACGTGACTTTACCGAAAGAACCAGGAAGATTACACAGTTACTATGACGCTTTGAGTCACGTGGTTTCCTCTTTCACGCGCTACAAGCACGCGCTGTTGTGTTCGTCGCTGCTGGTGTTTTTATAGTCGCTGATTTCGTCACATTTTCTGGTGTTTTAGTTACAATATTGTGGTAATTAGTATTTGTTAACCTATATCAATAACTTTTTGAAAATGAAGTAGTAATTCAAGGAAAAAGAGAAAAATCTTAAAAGGCTTCTGCTCCGTTACTAATGATGTTGTAACTTATAATGTTGTAATTAAATGTAGAAAGATTTTACAATTTGTTTTGTTAGTATTCATGTAATCTAAGAAATATTATATTTAAGCAATTGACAACTATATCACGTATAATTCTATGATTACAATTTAAATTGATAATAAACTTACATGTAGAACAATTATTTATTATGTAACTCTTTGATGACTAAATAGAGAAATTGACAATTTAAAACATGAAGTGTGGGTAAATGCTATGGTTTCTTGATACATGTTTAGAAATAAAACTTAAATCTTAAATATATTTTTTATTTTAGTCTTTTAAAAATTTATTTAAAACATTACTGTCTTGCAAATATATATCTGATTTTAAATGTAATTCTTAAATAATTTTTTTCTTCGAATTATTTTGTTTTCTTCCCGTAAAAGTAAATACATTTAGGCTGTACGCATAATATTGTAATTTAAAGGTGTAATTAAAATGTTACTAGTTCTTTATGTCACTACTATTGCCATTACATGCAGTGATATACGGAATTACAATTAGTACAAAACACATTACTAAGGATTCTGTAAGGTCTAGTACGGGAGGAGGCCCATGTGGGGTGACACCATGAGTTACCCCACTGGGTGACACCGACCCGAGTGATGCCACTGCATACACGGTAAAGGTGCAGCTCTGCAACTGTCCAATCGCGCCACTGGCAACGAATGAGACTTTGCTAGAGGGAGCTCCAGACAGCCCCTCGCGATGTTTGTTTGACCTACTCTTCCACACCGGCCAGATGTCTTGGAAGAAGTGGGAGTACCTGCACTTTAGCCAACCGCACATGATCTGCCGATCGACTAATTCGTGGTGGTACCCATTTAAACTGCTGGATGGACAGATATTGAATAGACTCTCATATTGTTTCAACTGCCGCGTCTGGCATGGAATCAGCAAATAAACTGACCATTGGTAAAGTGATGTCTGTGCATCATAATGGGGTCCCTCTGAGCCACCATCACACCCCACTTGATGATACCTAAGGGGCTGCCACCTTTTCCTGGTTTTCCCAGGGTCATCCTGGTAAACCAGTAAGCATTCACAGGACATTAAGAGTCGGGTTTTTTTCTCTTTTCAGTTGAATAATGAATATAATGACAATACACTCCTGAAGACGATGAATTTACAAGTAAAAAAAAAACTCAACACAACTGTTGCCTTTTTCTTGGTTATTTAGGTAAAGTCACGTAGAATGGAAATAATAAAATAATAAAAATAAAACATAATAAAATAATTCTCACGACGTTTCGGCCACAACGCAAGCAGCCGTCCTCAGGTGGAGAGCAGGTCTGTCGAGTAGACAGTCTGAATGGCACACTTATTATTTAATTATTTTATTATTTTCATTCTACGTGACTTTACCGAAAGAACCAAGAAGATGAATCCCTGCAGTCACGAAAGCTTTAAATCGAAATTTAACTGTTGCCTTATAAGTGAAAAAAAAACCACAAAGGCCCTTATTCATAGAACATAAATGATTTAGGGGTAGATTTTCCCTCTCGCGGTATTTTGAGACAATCTCATTCCCACGACGTGCCCCGGATTGTCCGTACCCCCCGGACGTGGCGCCCCTTCGCAGCTAACGTGTGTGTGAGCGCCAAGTGCGAGTTGTCACACGCTGACCTCCTGCTGCAGCATGCTCGCTGTGAACTCCATGGCCTCGTGGTGCTGCTCCTCCAGCATGCCCAGGTGCAGCTCCTCCAGGAAGTCGTTCCTGTCGTCGTCCATCCAGCCCTCATCCAGCTGCACGCAGCACACAAAGACAAAGATCCCACCTTGTATAGCCTTAACAGACTGTTGGGGCAAGTGCTGTTAGCGAGCGCCTATGAAGGCCGGCACTGTGGCACACGAGGGGGTGGGTGGCCAGCACCACGCCCGGCCGTCTGTGTCTCCCCAGCGGCGATGTTTACACACCGCACCAGGTACTCATTTGAGGCCGTGTCGACCTAGGGGAGGCCCAGAACGGGTTAAGATAATCGTCACTGGTTTTGGCCATGAACTGGAATCAAGCGTGGGTCGCCAAGTTCGCAGCGCAGCGCGCTAACTGCTACACGACCGATCCTACGCACACACACACACACGCGTACGCATGCGCAAGTACTTGCTCAAGCCATTGCCGATGGAAGGGTCTCCAATAGAGGGAGAGCGCTAGAGGGTGTCTGGCTTACTATTCCACGCTGGCCAAACACCGTGGAAGAGTTGGGGGTACCCCGCATTTTACCCCAACGCACGCTACCTGCCGATTTAATAACTGCTGCGTACCAATTAATACTGCTGGGTGAACAGAGGTAGAGTAAATTTGCGCCATCGCTTCAACTGTCCTTCCAGGACATCGAACCGGCGACTCGTCGATTGCAAGTCCAGTGTTCTAATCATTACACCACGACAGTACTCTGCAAGTGGAAGAGTGATTTGTTTATTTGTATGTATGTTGAACTTCTTTCGGACCATACTTCGATATCCACCGGTGATTGCAAACACAAGAAGAAGAAGAAGACGGATCCCACCTGGATCTCTGGCCGGGCGAGGAGCAGGGAGACCCTGCGGCTCTCCTCGTTGGTGAGAAGAGCCACCGCCTCCTCCTTGTCCTGAATGTCCAGCCCGTTGATCTGCACCGACAGAGGCATCGTCATGCACGGTCACAACCGCGGCGCAGCGACGGACAGCGCCTCCCCTTCTCCGTGCAGCACATGTTTCAAGATAACAATTGTCATTTACAGTCCTTTGTCAATCCACTGCTGGATGAAGGCCTCTCTTGTTATGTCTGACCATACTTGGCCACACTGGTCAGTTATTGTATCCGGTGTATGTGTGTCTCCCGCCACCCCCCCCCCCACCCCACCATTAGAAACATGTCGCTAACTAATGCACACGTTTACATCCACAAAATACCATCGCAACCCACTTCGGCCTTGTTCCATCCAATGCTGGATGAAGGCCTCTTCAAGCCACCACCACTCACAATCCTAAGATGCACGGAAATATTTCGATTTAAAGCTTTCGTGACTGCAGGGATTCATCTTCTTGGTTCTTTCGGTAAAGTCACGTAGAAGGGAAATAATAAAATAATAAAAATAAAACAGAATAAGATAATTCTCACGACGTTTCGGCCACAACGCAAGCAGCCGTCCTCAGGTGACTTTGAAACCCCCCGCCCACCTCCTACGCATTTCCCATAAATGTGCTAAATTCCTCTTGATATGCAAATTATTTTGTCAGGGCGCTCTTCTTGCCCCTCCAACCCAGCTTAAATATACGCTCCAAGCTTGGTGGTGTTTCATTCTTCACCTGAGGACGGCTGCTTGCGTTGTGGCCGAAACGTCGTGAGAATAATTTTATTATGTTTTATTTTTATTATTTTATTATTTCCCTTCTATGTGACTTTACCGAAAGAACCAAGAAGATGCATGGAAATAATTCACCTTAAACTAAGAGGGGTGGGCCCAGCACTGCTTCAGGAATCATTTGCCACAGATGTCAGCGAACCAGGTGCAGGCCCGCCGGTTTCAGAGCACAACGCGTGAACCACTGAGCCACCACCACCACACTACGGTAATTGTATTTTCTAGGCAACGCAATTACCATTGAGACGTTTCGACTGACGAAACAAATTCAGGAGGGTCTTGTATTCCAACGTGGGAAAAAACCCCGTTTTGACGACCCGTTGAAGTTTTCATGGGAAAATAAAATAAAGGGCTTTTTTCACATTACATGTACCTCCCAGTTTAAGGTGAATTATTTCCATGCATCTTAGGATTGCGAGTGGTGGTGGTGGCTTAGAGAGGCCTTCATCCAGCATTGGATGGAACAAGGCCGAAGTGGGTCGCGATGGTATTTTGTGGATGTAAACGTGTGCATTAGTTAGCGACATGTTTCTAATGGTGGGGTGGGGGGGTGGCGGAGGGAGACACACATAAACCGGATACAATAACTCAGAGAAACAATGGCAAAAACCTCCGTTCATAAATAATCGAGACAGATTTCACGCGGCAGGCATGGGGTGACAGGTCGAACGAAAGGCGCGCTCGCCGGACCACAATGGCTTATGGCACGGCGTGCGCGCGACGCTTAAAAGTAACGACGTGGGTCAGGAGACGCGGTCAAAGGCCAGGCACCGGGGGGCGTCCACTGCTTGGGGCAGATTCATGGCGCTGAGCTCACGGTGGGTCACTCTCGCCCTCGGCACGGCTCGAATAAACGCGTCCGCTAACGCACGGCGGGGTCCCCCCCTTGGGGCAAAACAAAGGACGGTCGCCCCGTCGCAGGCGGCACGCGCTGGCGCCGTGGTACTGCCGGCAACGAGGGACAGCGGACGTTCTTGAGAGGTTGCCGGAGGACGACCTGGAAATTGCACGGTCCGTGAGCCGCCACTGAATCAATTATGGTGGTGCCGTAATGGTAATGACGTCATTCATTTATCCAGAAATGACTTACAGAATTTCAAACGTTTTAAATAGGGTCCCGAAGACAGGCCCTAAGTGCAGACCATTCACACAAACTCACACTAATAAATTGAACACCATGCGATCTGCGGCCACAATGAAGGACAGTGGACAGATTTGACCGACAAAGCAATGGTTGCCGTAAAATTACTTAAAACAACAACAACAATGATACTAATGTCATTCATTTATCCAGAAAAGACTTGCCTTATCTCAAACATTTCAAGAGTGTCCTGCCCTGGGAATATTTGACCAAATAATGTAATATGGAGCCAGAGTACACGGCGAAAGAAAGTCTGCAGAGAGGGGTACCCCAAACCTACTTTCAGTACTTTCTTCTCCTGGCCAACTTACTGTCCCCTGAGTTTGCAGTTTCACGAATCTCCGTGATTCACACACCTTTGCAGTTGATTAGCGGTACGTGTGTAACAATGCTAAACTTTTGCTTCAGATCGATAAACAGGCAGATTGGTCTCTTCTGGCTACAAAACTGGGGGAAGATTGGATCTCGGTTTTCGTGTGATTCTGTTGACAATGTTCAAACCTGCAAATTCAACGGGATATGCACAACGATCTCCACGGCAAAAAACTGACCTGCAGGATTCGGTCGCCTTCTCGAATTCGACCGTCTTTGGCAGCGATGCTTTTAGGGTCAACCTGCAAGAAGGACAGTTGCAAAGTGATGAGTAAAGAGAGACATGAGGTTTATTACCATGCCACATGGCGCAACCCGCGTTATTCTTAAAATTGTTCATAGGGCGAGTAAACGTATTGAATAAAAAAACATCAAGATACAGATTTATAATCTCTGACCCCACACAGAAGGACCTTCATAGTTTCAACTTTACCCAAAACCAATGCATGGCAGATGCGGCTATTGCCTATTAAACTTTTTGTTTTTACCATGAAAGGCCCACTGAGCTGTACTGTCTAGCAATTTTTTTTTAAAAGAGCGACCTAGCCACAAATGACAGTCCAATGAAGTGGCTTATCATGTGGAAATTTATAGCAGCCAAATACTATAAACTCATGTTTCTAAATGTGGAGGGAAAAGCCTGAGGACCCAGATAAAAATCCACGTGACCACGGGGAGAATATGCAAACTCGAACTCATGACCTCCTGCATACTAGGTGAGGTAGTTAACATCTCGCCACCGCAGCGTCTATACTAACGAACATTAAGAATAGCCCAGAGCTTACTCCTGATGTTGTCGACTGGCTCACCCATCAACTTCGACATGAACCCACGTGAACATTCGTGATCAACTCTCCTCCACATGATAATAGGTGAATAAAATAAATAAAAAATGTTGCGGAGAACCTTAGGAGACTGAACAAAATTGAATCAAGTGTGGGTTTTCTAATGGTTAAAATCCCAATGTAACCAACATATTGAAAGCGGCGGAGAGGTACATTAGCTCAGATTGGTGCAGATTACACCCAAGGACACAAAGCAGTTTTTAATGAACTTAGCTGTCCCCAATGTGAATTGAGAATGCATCTGTGCAAAGTGGTTTTTTTGTTAAGACACTGCATCATTATCATTCGACACGCCTCATTATTAATGGGGCTCTGAATGGGTTGCTCACAATTCGTTCAAGGGGAGTGTTTTTATTTGTTATGCATCATTTGCAATGTATTTGTATTCATTTGAAATCAGGGTATTACTTAGCCCTCACTTAACCAGGGTTTATGAAAGAAATACCACGTGACATCCGTCACTAGAAAATAATCGTGAAGAAAATGCATGGCGTAGATGACAGGACATTAAAAAAAACTGATCGTCTTGCGAAAATAAAATCCGTTTTAATTTGGATAAAAATTTCAACAACAACCCGTGCACCGCAATCCCACAAACCGTCGTGAACAATGAAGGCGTGCTCACTCATCGTGCAAATGCACACTTCATGCGATTACTACTCCTTGTCCCATGCATGGTAATGCGATTTCTAACCAGTAATGGGTTCAATTTAAATAAAGAGGATTTTTAAGGGGCCGTTAGACAGAGCGATGAATGTGATCGCTTCTGCTCAGGGAGCTACGCGGAACACGTCGCAGATCGACAGCGCGGTACGGTGGAAACTTTCCGACGAAAAATGTGAAACTGGGCAGACAAAAGCCGTCAGTTTCAGTTTGGTCTGGGTGCAAATGTTTCAAAAGATACATTCAGCGCTGTTTGAATGGGAAGGTTGGTGCACTTACATTCGGCCAAATATGAGATTTACATTCCCCGACTTCGGTGGTCTTATAGATCACGCTTTTGAAAGGGAGGGCACATTTCGATAAAAAAAGAAATGTGGAAAATAAAAGACATCTCACAGAGTTGGCTGGCTGGGCCCAGTATTGGTAAAAATATAAAAAATACACCAACAGAAGAGTCAAACTGGAACATTAGTTTTTGATTTAAAGCTTTCGTGACTGCAGGGATTCATATTCTTGGTTCTTTCGGTAAAGTCACGTAGAAACAATAAAAGAATACAAATATTAAACAATAAATTTCTCACGACGTTTTTTTTTTCACACCTGATGATGATTGCTCGTGTTGCAGTCGAAACGTCGTGATAATTTTATTGTTTCATATTTTTATTATTTTATTGTTTCTACGTGACTTTACCGAAAGAACCAAGAATATGGAACATTATCATTGATCATTTTAGAATGTCATCACCACAAGGACACCCTCACTCTCTCTGTAGGTGCAGAAGACTCATCGCAAGGATACCTAACAATAGAATTTAGATTGATATGGAATTTACAAGCGACCGCATCTCCAGACGCTGTACAGAAACAGAGAGCATATTTACGTTGTCGAGTGAGGCCATCGGCCATAGGCAGAGGAGAATAGAAAGGTCTTGAGCCGGGACTTAAAAATAGGCAGGGGGTCGACAGCGCAGATGGCTGGGGGAAATGAGTTCTGGTCGATGAGGAAAGCAGAAGAGAACGAGCAATGTCCCACTGAGTAAAGATCCACTGACATAATCCTTGAACGGCCATCATTTTTGGTTTCAATATTAATACATGTAATTGAGAGTAACCAGCTTCTAACGGTTTTTATAGATTATGCAGTGTAGTAATCGCCGGTGTGAATACGTGCATGAGTGATAAAACACAAATTAATATACAAATAACTCGTGAAAAGAAGCAGCAACAAAACAAAGGGACTTTGAATGAACGTTACTTTAGCCTGCGCTGAGGTATTAAAGCAAAAGCATCGAGTCATTTACCAAAGAGGACACTTGACCAACGTGCGGATTTCACAATGGACTTGGAAACACTTCAAAGTGAGCTGTCTCCAACATTTCACACGTTTTATATTTGTGCTGTAAGAGTCTGGGGGTCTCTTAGCGAAATTGCATTTCATCACATGAATAGAGCAGGTGGCAGAAAAAAAAATGGAGTGAATTATGGAATATTTGTTTGCTTTAGTCTAAAATAATTAAAAATGGCACGGTGAAAATGTCAGCGGGTTTTACCAACACAATGACTACGTCTCGTGCTAAAATAAATCCCTCGCTGCCTCCGTAATTATACATTTAATTGCAGCCCACTTTAATAAAAAGAGGATTAGCGTGCGTAAAGGTCATAGTGTGTCCAAACAAATCCTGCACGCGAGACAGCAGTCTAGAGAGAGGGGGCCTCTGGTTCTGACGTAATTAAGTGGACGCGCCGGGCTGGGCATGCGGTGTAACACGCACGCGGCACCTTTGTCCCAAAGCCACTGTAGGGATGACGCGGGGTAAAGGTTCCTCGGGGCAATGGAGACTTTAAAGGATGCTCATGACAAAAAGGGACTGGCAGGTAGAGATGACCACCGATTGCTGATATTCTGAGCAATTCAAGGTCATTACCTTTGGTTGAAAAATGTAACAAAAAAACACAACAGAAGGCTCGATAGCTGTGGGGGTCACAGCAGCGAGCTAGCCAACACCGATGAGAGCCTGGGTTTGAATCCGGGTAGCCACCTGTGATTAACCTGCGTTCTAAAGCGGAGTGAGTTGGCAGTCTCAGTTACAACTCACGCAAAAAAACCCCTCTATGCTTACATTTTTATTCATTTAAGTAGCTAATTTTGACCGCAGAAATATGTAGTTAAAAATATTTATTTGACTGCGATGTAAGTGTGTGGAATTTTTTTGCGTCGTACGTAGCACACGAGCGGGTGGGTGGCCATCACCACCCTCGGCAGCCTTTGTCTCCTGGGTGGCAATGTTTGCACATCACACCAGGTCCTCATTTGAGGTTGAGTGGACCTTGGGGAAGCCCAGGACCGGTTCAAATAATCGTCACTGGCGTTGGCCGTGGGTCGCGCGAACCATTGCGCTACCGCGGCTGCCCACCACGCAAGCTGACTGACATCGATGGATGTGCAGTGATGAAGAGCAATGGGGACCCGTGGGCGAGACCGTGCCGTCGGGATGCCCCCGCGTGTACGGGCCGCACCTCGGTCACGTAGATGCCCAGGTCGTCCTCGTCGTCAGTCCGGTAGCACACGGTGAGGCCCAGCTTCTCCTGGCTAAAGATGCGGTACAGCTCGACTTCCTGCGGAAACGGACAAAGACAAAACAGAAGGAAAAAAAAGGCGAGGTCCCACCATGTAGAATTCAAAAGATTATCGGGACAAGTGCTGCAAGTGAATACCTTTGAAGGCCGGCATGGCGAATGTGGTGTGGCCAACACCACTCTCGGCCAACTTTGTCTCCCCAGCTCTGATGTTTACACTGATGTTTACACACTGATGTTTACACTGATGTTTACACACTACACCAGGTACTCATTTATGGCGGAAATTGACAGGGATGGTCCAGCACTGGTTTTGCCCTCTGGATTCGTAGCGCAGTTGCGCTAACCGCTGCACCACTACTTCCCACCGCAGAACGCATGCAGATGCATGCACATATGAATCATTCATTGAATATGTTCTCCTTTGCCGATCAAATGCCAGTTAGGTCCTGCTTTTTAAAAGCTGTATAGAGGTGGCCGAGTGCCTCACAGAGGTCAAAGTGCTACACTGGATCCACTGACGTCCCGGGCTTGAATTCAGGCAGCTGACGGTGATTAAACCAGCTTCTACAGTTGCAGTGATTTCATTGTCCCACCAATAACTGCACAAATGACTGCTATCCCCCCCCCACCCATCACACTAAATTTGTTTCCGTGCTTAATTTGTCCAAATTCCAGCCGTGAGAATTAAACTTATCGGCTTGGCTTGTCGCACGATGAACGCTGCTCGATGAACATTACTCTCCGTAGCAGAGCGGGTGTCACGGTACGGCTCCCTACAGTGCGGGACCAGAGGTCACTTGAAGGGATTGCATGAAAGTGCCATCAGCTACTCATCAGTGAAACCTATACATCTGTCATAGAATGCAGTTTGCAGGGTACAGGCAATATCCAGTTATCATGCAAAGACACTGACATCAAGAAAACCTTTAAAGAAAAAATCTCATACATTAAACACAGAAAAGGACATTCACGAGAAACGAATGTGACAGCTTTACACAATGTGAGATTCTGCGCTGCACAGAAATACACAACAAAACAAAGGTGCTACCGGACAGGTCACACGTGATGCATTACAATTACGGCTCTAAGCCACAAAACACAATGGTGTGTGCTTCCTACCCAGAAGAACAAGGGCCATCCGAGTGCGTGAACGCAGTTTGGTGAACAGCGGCAAAGGTAAAACACCAGGCCATCGAGTAGATCTACAGTGAACCGGCGACTCTTTATTTTGACACCTGATAAAGGATTCACTTTCTCTCCTCTTTTGCTTAAACTGTCCCCTCTTGCCGTGTAGCCAAAGTGCCAATTTTACGGCGCTCAGAGCCTTTCCCAAATGAAAGGAAGCCGGGCCTTGCTTCCATCACTCAATCTGCCTGCGAGCAGCCAGCCACAACAGCCCCGGGTGCCCATCTATTCCGCTAATGGCAAAATGCATTAGATGGGGGGGGGGGGGATATACACACACACTGCCGATGACAGCCCATATTTCTAATAAAACACATCTCTCGGCAATTGTCTTGTCCAATTTGGGCCCCGCGGGAAAAAAAAAATTAAAATAAGCAAACCGGAGCCAGTTCCTCGTCAGGAGCTTGCACGCATGCCGCACGCTGGCGACCCGCCCCCGGTAATTGCTTCGTATTGAACTGGAGGGGGGCCGAGGTTTGGGCAGCATCTGTCTGGCAGGCGGAGCTGACGCGCCTTGCTCAGGCCCACACGCTATTAATCACCGGTTACAGACTCGGCCCGGCTGCTCTGATCTCCGATGCGGCCGATATCGCGACGGGCAGAGCGTGGGCCCCGCCGGTCCCATCTCGTGCCCGTCGAAATTTATCTTGTGCGCCTTCCGCAGCGCCCGTTTATTAAATAGAGGCCAAGAGTTTAAGGCGGGATCATTTTTCATCGTCTCGGCGGTCTCCTGTGCGACTCGCGGGCGCTATTCTGACGGAGACCCCACGGATTCGTTTCCTTTTCGTTGTCGATCGCACGGTGCATGCTGGGAGAAGAGGAAGGAAGGGGGGGGGGTGCAATACTGCGGAGGAAAAAAATGTGAATGGAAAGTACGCAGCCCTGCAACATGCTCGCTCACGTCGGTGCTGGCAGAAGGGCCTCCAATCCAGAAATCTGGAGAGAGAGAGAGAGCTTCTCTGGCGGGTGTTTGGCCTATTCCTCTACGCCGCCGACACGTCTCAGGAGACGTTGAAGTAACCCACACTTTGTCCCATCACACGCGACCTGCCGGCTGACTCACTGTGGCGCACCTCCATTAGACTGCTCGGTGGATAGAAACGGGGGCGGGGGGGGATTTAAGACACTTGCACCATTGTTTCAGCTGTCATGCTGGAAGATTGAACTGGTGACCTCTGGATTGCAAGTCCAGTTCGCTAACCATTTCACCCGTGGCAAATATTTTCTATTGAATATTTTATTATACTACCATTAATCATCTCGTGTGCAGATGCCAGATGCATTGTTCCAACGCAGGAAGATGAGAGACACTGACCTCCTGAGCCCTTCATCCAGCAGTGGAAGCACGATGATGATGGCAGTAGTGTTCAAGTTTATTAACAGGGCAAAGTGGTGGCACAGTGATAAGTGCACTGCGTTATGAACCGGGCTACCTGAGTTCAATTCCTGGACACGGCTAACATCAGTGGTGAGTGACATCTGAACCGATCCTGGCTGTCCACCCCCCTCACCAACGAGCACTGACCAGCGTGGTGAAGTATGGTCAAACAACCCCAGTAAACAATATCGCACTGAAAGGTCTAAATCGGGCAGTGGACTAACAAAGGGCTGTAAAAAAATACATGTTTTAAAATAAGTCCATTGTACGATGGGAGAAGCATAATAAACAGGGGATCTAAATACGGTTGTTTTTGAAAATTGTAATTTTCCTCTTCCCGGAGGGTGAGAAAACCATCGGCTTAAAATCTGACGAAAAGCAGCAGATTTAGCACATCCACTGCAGCGACAGAAGGTGGCAAAAACTTGCGCTCAGGAACCAATTAAGAACGCCAGTGATGAGAACGCACAAACTTGAGTGCACCTTTGCCAACAAGACCAGCGTAAAGAGCAGAGAAATTTACCACAGCAACAGCAGCAGCAGCCGGAGAGGCAAAGAGAAGAGAGTTTCAACCGAGTCAGCGCCACGATTGTTGAAAACAGAGCAATCTCACAGCCCTGGAAACACATTGGTGGCAATGTCGCATCATAGGCCCAGCCACGTCAAAAGCCCATGGGCAGGGCACAGTCAGTTGCGTGCGTGACGAGTCACTAATAAGTATGAACGTGCCATTAGCTGTATCAAAACCTTCACATTAGTTCAACCAAGCCTGTTAACATGGCAGCTGCATGGGCAGCATGCCATGCACGTTCTATCTCGGAGGATTTCAGTTCTGCGGATCTCTAGCCCACAGGAAAGACACCAAACGCTTTCGCTGTCAGAAAACTTCTGCAGCGAAAGTGATGCCGCCTTTAATTTTGTTTTTTTTCACCAGCAACTGAAACAAGCAATTACCAAAGTTGGCAACAATCAGGCCCGAGTGCGTCGTTCAAGTTGTACAGGAGGGAAATTTGTTTTCAACCATCTTGGCGTGACATACTCGAAGTAGGGTGCTCATTTAAGTTGAATAATCACAGCTCCGTCACATCAACAGCTCGGGAAATCTCTACATCTGAGTGTCCTCTTTACAGTGACGTGCCTCAAAGCACATCTCCCCAACGCACAAACGCAAGGCGGACGAAAGGTGAGCCTGAAACCCTGCGAGCGATACAGCTGCTAGCCGCTTCAGCAGCTGGTCGCGTGGAATCAGCAAGTAAGTGTCGCCATTAGGCCCAAATTGACGAAACCCTCTCGCCGGGGCCTCAGTCGGGGCGTTTTGATTGTATGGAACGATAGGCCCACGAACGGAGCCCCTCGGCACACTGCTTCGTGATCAAAAGTGAGCCAAGAGGTGTCGGGGAAATCCTTTGGCCGGAGGCAGCAGGGGGTCCCCGCGGTGCCGTGTTGGGTGACGACGTATCTCCGTGAGCAGAAGAGCACGGCGAAAGGATTATCTGAGCCGACGGTATTGGACGGATGCGCCGAATTAGCGGGACGCTATGTTAAAAAGCTCGAGTTAACGGTCATTCCTAAGCACCGGTGGGTATTAGCGGTGACAAATAATTATTCGGCGGCGTTTCAACGTCTTTTTGTTCCCGTGAATATGAATGCGAAACGCTCAAGGCAATGTGGGTGCTGACAATTGGCGTGAGCTTTAAGGGGCTCAACGGCTGCGTCTCAATTTTGAGGAGATAATGCGAGTGGGTCAACACCCAAAAAAACTGCTGAAGTAGGCTTACTTCGGCAGTTTTTTCTTGCTGTGGTTGTCCCACCTGATGATGATTGCTTGTGTTATGATCGAAACGTCGTGACCTACTATTTTTTCTACCTACGTGACTTTACCGAAAGAACCAAAGAGTATGGATCCCTGCAGTCACGAAAGCTTCAAATGAAGATTGGGTTAACACACTGCACCAGGAACTTGGTAAACTGCGTTTGATTCCTGGCCACGGTGAACAAAGTGATGTCTGAACCGATCTTGAGCTTAACTGCCTTTGCTAGTCCACACTGATATGGTAAAAAGTATGGTAAAAAAAAACTCCATGACCGACACAGCCTAGGGAGGTCTTTATATAACAGCGGCTTGCCAAAGCGGTGGACATTAAAAAAAATATTTTCATTTTATAAATCACAAACAAGACTACAAGCCATAAGTTAGACACGAGTAAGCTGATGAGCTATTCTGCGTGAAATACTTGCGCAAATAATGAATAACTTAACAATTACGTCATGCAAATATATTTCGACATTTTAAAGTTGAACACAATAATTAAGTGTTATAAGCTGTGAAAATAGCCACTGTACATATCTAATAGCTATAAGATGATGGTGATTGATTGAATGATGTATATTATAATGATGTTATAGAAGGGCTAGAAATGAGAGAAAAATGGTATAAATTTAGTTGAATCTATGATTATAACTAGACGCATTCTGGCCCACAAAGGAAGGCCAGCCTTAAGTTCCACATTGATTTAAGTCTTGTGCAAAATTCCACACATCAGTTTTTCAGACAATTTGTGTGACACTCAATGTAAAAAAAAACAGACTAGTGACTTGTCGTAGATACTTAGAATGGCAATCAAATCATATTGATATTAAAGGTTGTCAGTATGCCACACTTGTAATTGTATTTTCAAGATTAAGTTTCAGCATCAACATTTGCATTGCTTTTCAGTCGGGTTTTTGTGTCACCATATCATCACGTGCCACTAGACCAGGCTTCAACCCAATGAAAAGCTCACTCTATATTCCACAACAAAATCGTTATAGTTCCGTAACATTCAAGTTTGGTCCCTGTGATCTCCGGCTCAAATGAGCATTGAAACGGTACTCATTACCCATTTACAGTCCTGAACCTAGTGGTGGAAATTCCTCGTTCCTATGGCAGGGGCTAGTCTCTCCATTGGAAAACCATTGTTGACTTCCCTACTTAGTTGTACCCATTTTTATTGACCCGTGGGGGTGATGGGCTGAGGCTACCCCCCTATCAGGATTTAAACTCGCAACTCTCTCCTAGCGAACTGCTTGTTCCACTGCTGAGTCACTTTGCCTGCCTCCACCAGAGGCTTAAACAGTATCACTCCGATTTACGTCTCCCCCTTTCATGTTGTTTCGCGAATACGTTGTCACTTTATGGACAGATGATGTCACTGACAACATCTGTCCTTTCTCGTATCCGCCGCCTCTCAGCCTTTTCCTCCCCCTACCCTCCACACCAGGGGTCGGGAACCTTTTTGACTGGGAGAGCCATAAAAGCCAAATATTTCTAAATATATTTCATTGACAGCCATATAGTATTTTTAACGTATAATAAATTAAATGTCTTACTTTTAATGCGACTTCTGGTCACGGGACCCGTGACCCGAGAAATGTTATCTTAAAAACGAATTTCTGTTTACTTTAAAATGACACAGTATTATTAAGCAATATCACAAATATTTTAAAATCAGTTCCAAACTGATTTTATTTTTATTTTATTTATTATTTTTTTCAACTCAAAATTGTCTGGGAGCCATATGCCGTCACCCGAAGAGCCATATATGGCTCACGAGCCATAGGTTCCCGACCGCTGCTCCACACGAACTGCTTTGTGTCGTGCATAAAGACATTGTTGCTGCACTGTAGAGTACAATATATTATCCGCGCACAGGATTTGTTGATTTTTTTGTTTTTATCGTGTAATGTATCTTATTGTACCCTGTGTAGTTTGTGTTACAGTTTATTGCTGTACACTGGTGCTGAGCACAGTATTATTAGTAGATTAATGTAACTGTGTGGGCACGTTTAGGATGAAGATGGAAGCATTGACACACAGCATGACCATACCCTCTGTTGTCTTTCTTTAGCTGTCGTGGTGTGCAGAATGAAATTGCTTTGATTGATGTAATTTCGATATTCGTTGGCGCACCTTTCAAACGAATATATAACAAATCTCTCATGTCATTGTAAGGCATCGTCACAAAACCGCTGCTTGTGGTGCTAATAATTATCTTTGATTACCCATAAAAGCCTCACCAAGTCTCAAGACTCTTATTCAGGAAGCTCCATAATTGAGAAGTTTGTCCAATCCAATTAATGAGTGTATCGCGTACGGGATCAAACTGGAGCAGTCACACGCACAACCCACGATGCATACCAGGGGGTTATATTCCGCACAGATTCAATCAATAATCAATTGCTTTCATGCCACATTCTTAAAGCGAATGACTGACCTCGTATTCCAGCTCGTCTGCTCTCTCGGGATCCTGGTGCATGCTGGGAAGGTAGTCGTTGTTATCGTAATAGTCGTCCGCGATCGTGTGCCTGAGAACAGAAGTGAGAGCGTTAACCCACAACGCTTTTCTCTCCGCGCGCACAAAAACACAAGGCCCAATTACGGAATCGTTAGCGGTGACTCACGTTTACTTTACGGCTTGCGGTGTAATTTAATTGCCGCAAGAGCCTGCCCACTTGCCCAAAGAGATAAATTACCACCGAGCCATAACAAACAAAAAAATCCAGCAGCTACCGTATGCTGGGCGCTGAGAGGCCGGGGAGGCTGAGTGATTACATTGGCACTGCTGCCTCTTAACCTGGGCTCCACAGAGTGACATGAAACGAATCTCGGGGCACAGCACTGATCATCATCATCAACATTATTGTTATTAGCCATGGTCAATCCACTGCTGCATGAAGGTCTCCCACAAGCTGCCACCACCTCTCACAGTCCCACATATGGAACAATCCACCCATCCCCTGCTCGCTAGGTTAATGCCCTCTCGGACGCGTTCCATTCCAAAGACAAATCTAAATACATTTCTGATCACCGCTACTGACACCTTTTTAGGTACTCAATCACTTTAACGTACATGTTCAAAACACCAGTGAAGCTGTTACAAGATTTTCGACCTGAAGCACTGAACTAGGGAATATTCAAAGGGTGAAAGGTCATCACGGATAATGTCCATCAATCCGGCCGCACTCCACCATCACTTCTGCTAGATGCCACAGCTGCTGCACAGTTGTTGAGGGGTCTGCTATTGCAGCTTTTCCCACCGTCTGGCTTTCGGACTTCTTCTACTCATATTTTACATTATGGTCCTCATTGAGACTCAACGACAACCTTAACAAGTTTCCAATCTACTTATTTATTCAAATAAGTGCAGTTTTTTTTTAAATAATGTTGTTTGAAAATTCGACAGGATAGGGTAGAAATCTAAACGGCCTTCCAAAAAAAACCCCACATCCCACCGTGAACAGAATCAAACTGCATGTCACTTTACTATTTTCTTGGAATAAATGTGATTTAGGACACAGTGAATAGGTTTTAAATCACAAATAAGCGACAGGTGATGGATTCCAGCCAAATACAAGTTAATGTCAGGATGGTATTGTAGAAATGTTTTTGTAAATCGTAGTGCATGATGCCAGAAAGTGGTCATTTAACGAGATACAACTATATTTTGGAAACACGGAAAGTTGTTTAACTCTGTTACGGACATATTTTGATTCAAATGAGGATATTTTTGTATTTCTCTGAATTGTACTTGGAAACAGATTGTAGGACAACAACGGGAGATTAAAATTGAGCAACATGATGTGATGACATTTTGAATGTAGTTTGCAAAATAACTAAATATAAAATGCAACCCCTGTCGGCTTAAGAGATTTGTTGAAAATGTGTTTTGGTTTCATATTTGCACTGGAAAATGTGTGTGTGTGTGTTTTTTTTTTAAGAATTGTAGGAAGATAGCACATATTGTAAGGATTTCCTCTCTGGTGTAAAATGTAAAAAGAAATATAAAGAACTGTAAACATCAGGAGGGCTTTATAGAATGTTATCCTCACATGCTACCTACCAGACCAGGCTTCAATACAATAAAAAAGCCCACGCTATTATCCATGAGAAATTGTTACAGTGCCATAATCTTCACCAGAGGCATACAATTCACTGGCAATACAGCACGGGGATGAGACGGTCTGTATGTAACTTGTCGTGGGTGAATTCTAGAAAAGCCACGTCACATTGCTGGTAAGGATATCTTTCCGATACCCATTTTCCTTGTCTTTCAGAAGGCAATGCACTGTGGTTGTCGCCAGAGCGGGCTTATATTCCGCTAACGGTTGCTCCACGTTAGACGTTTGTGCGAGACATCTACTGCAATTTGAACGAGCCGTTACCTGGGTCCCATTGGTGAGAGATTAACGGGTATCGAATGAGCACGTGGCTGCGATTTTCGATTGCCCGTTCTTTTTTCCGCGTGGTGATATAGCGCGTGCTCCCGACCACCCCGGGGCAGTTTGTTTCAACTTTAATAGAGCCGCGTGTCCCTCTTAACAAATTAGATAACACAAAGCTCCACAAACACCATTATAAAAATGTAATCTATGAGCTAAAGCACTTACGTGCACAATGAAATTTAACTGCACGGTGCCTGTAACATTGATGTTCTGAGCCAAACGCGGCCAAAAAATAAAATTAATAAAAACCCTCATAAATCTTTAATAACTCAATAGTGAGATATTGTACGAACTACGTCGTTATTTAATAAATATTGATTTTAATTTCTCGGCCGGCCTGCCGGCAACCTTCCCGTTTGGCGCTGCAAACAGTAACCCCCCCCCTGCCCCTCCTCCTGCCCCCATCCCCCGCCCCTCCTCACCAAGTGTCATGGGTTTAAGGCACCAGGCGAACAAAACGTCTCTAACCATCGGCAGCACCACAGGGTGGAAATGGGGTCGATGGCCCCCTCACTTGGCAGCATGGGGAGCAAATAATGGGTTTCAGCCCCCAGAGAAGATCACCGCGAAGAAAGGCCATCGGCTGAAACGTCAGCATTGCGATATTTCGTCGCCTTTCGGGCGGCGTCATCAATGCCACCGACGAACTTGTCAACCCGTGAATTGTCGACGCCGCTGCTGCCGCCACCGCTGCTGCAACTCAAGGCCCTTACCCGTCGCTCAGCAGGCACGGGTGGAAGTCCGGCACGGGGGGCGTCTCGGGCCTCAGCTTGCTGATCGCCGACACGCGCTCGAACGACACGTCGGTCTGCGTGGTGGCGTCCACCAGCAAGGGGTCGGGCCCGCCGGCCGGCGTGCCGGATCCGGAGCCCGGGGTCCCCGAGCCGGGCGTGGAGGGAGCCGAGGGCTTGGGCCGGGGTGGGGCGCGGCGCAGCACTTGAACCACGATGGGCTCCTTGGCGGCACGGAACGCCTCCACCGCCTCCTCGTGCGTCGCCTTGCTCAGGTCCTTGCCGTTCACCTGCGGCGGCAAATGGACACGGGCCCCGAACGCACGCCCCCGACGCGTCAGTGCGCGGTAGCGTGCCGTCAAAAAAACTTAAAAAATTGGTATTTGCGTCATTCTGACAGCGGAAAGACTGTGATCGTGAGGAAGGCGCTGTGATTACGTTTTGTGAGCTTTGTAGAACATTTCTGTCCTGGGTCGACTCCTGCAGAGCCGGTGGAGGGTCGCAAAGAGTGACCGGCGATGAGTTTCACGAAGGTGGGGCAGATGCCACTAACATGCACGCTAGTGGGCAGGTGAGTGAGCGGCTGGGCGCGGAGATGAGCCGGGCAATGCAAAACTGCAAGGGCCGTATCTCGGTGCATGGGGCGATGAAGCAGGTCACACCATGTGCTGCCGACCGGAGACTCGACGGCAACTGGCATAGAGGGAAACCGGTACGCAATAATGCGCATCACGTTGCTCTTGGCCCGATCTTCAGTTCGTGTGGAGGTGCTGGGTGGATCATTTCACGTGGGATCGTGAAAGGCGGCTGCAGTTGTGACGGCCTCGATCCCACAGTGGATTGAACATGGCTGGTGATAATGATGAGGATTGACCTATGACCAATCGGTGTGATCTCGTGAGGTCTGAGCTTGGATAGCGCTTGGATGGGTGACCACCTTGCATGACAGGTCGTTATAGGCTACGGGGCTATGGGGTGGGCAGCCGAGTGCTTTGCAGTAAAATGCATTGTTGTACTGCACTTCTATGCTCCCATATCTATGTAAATGCACATCGTGCCACTTCTGACTCACACAAGGATGACAGAATACAAAAAGACAGACAAATAAAGGTCAACCCCCTTTCCGAAACGTAAGTTCAATCACAAACGAGATGGTAACACAACAAAATTAGTCACCTCTTGATTTTTTCTCTAATGGAGTGGCATGAGCAAGTAATTGCAGTTATGCACCTACAGTAGCACACACAGCAGTTGAATGCACCATCGCTTAAGCAGTGCCCCCACACTCTATGAGCAAGTCGACCAACTCTCGTTGTCTGGCACTGGGCTTAATTACTGGTATGTTGCTAGGGATTAGGACGTAAGTTTCTACAATTCGGGGCTTATTTATTAAGATGAGCTAGTATGAGCGCAGCTGTGATCTCTTCTTGGCACTGAAAACTCAGCTCGTGCGAAATAACTCTTCCTCAAATCCCCATTTAGGCGACGATTGACGTAAAGCGAACGTGCCGTGCATTGATACATCAGGACACACGGTGATTTTTTTTAAAAAATCCCAGACATGGCTACAGACAAAAACCCGAATGTGAGTGCAAAAGCCGCGACCGCCAAAAGCGCACATTGACGCCCATCGTGCATTGACGATGCTTGAAAAGCTACCAGCAATGTCTGTGTTCACGGCGGCGCAAAGATGACAGTTGGCTCTTTGCCAGCGGTATGCGATGAAGAATGCCTTCTTATACCCAAGTTCATTAAACCGGGCTGAGAGTTCTGCTTTCTCGATTACAAAGAGAAGGGGGGCATGGCACGCACTTACTGAACCGCAATTTTAAAGGCCGGATAATATAATGCTCGCCTAGTACGCAAAACTAACGTTTTATTTTCCACCCCACTTTTCAGCACTTTCGCGGAAACCATCGAACGGAACAAAACACAAGCTGGCACCATTAGCGCCAAGCCCGGCAATTGCGCACATTTAAAAAAGAGTCAAAATAGAATAGATTTGTTTTTTTAATTCCAGTCCAAGCGAGTATCATATTACAAAATTGGGGCCCGATTCCAAGTGCCACTGTTGTAAGTTGACGACGCAGTCGACACAAGCCAATGGCTTACTCAGCACTGTGAGCTATTGTTGGAATGCCAATGAAAACAGGCCAAGCAGCATTTTAATTTCTTCGCAAATAATACCCCACCTCCGGCAGCCAAATTTATACGTAAAAAAAGACTCGCTCGGATGATGTTAAAAAGCATTAACAAAAATAATGCATAACAAGAAGAGCTTTGCTTCCTTTCAGAAGTGGGATAAGAGCATTGAGAGGTGATATGGAGATGCGCTTTGGAAATGTGAGCTCAATGGAATTGTTATTCGGCTTTATCAACAGTATGATTGAAATGTTTCACTCAACAATATATTTTAAAGAACACAAAAATCAAACAACCTTTCCACCCAACTCCAGGGCAACTCGATGGTTGTGGCTATTCAGTTCAGCAACCGATCTATGTTTTAACACTGCGATGGTGGATGTAAGAGGCCTCTAGTGGCTCTGGGGGGGGTGATGTAGACCCGCAACATACAATGCACCGATGTACACGTGCGATTGAACGCACGTATCTTGAGAAGAATCGACTCGAAATAGATGAGCGAGCACATTGTTACATTGCTACAGCTACAAATCTGGTAGATAATGCAGTATCAATATATATTTGTTCATGTTATAGTTATCAAGAATATTGTTGTTGTTGTCATGATCTCAATGATGTCCACCAAGGAGATGTTTTCATTGTTTTACCGTTGGATCGTGGGAGCTGACGGTGGCTTGGGAAAGCCGTCATCCAGCAGTGGATTGACGGTGGCTGATGATAAGTGATGAATTATGGCAATTATGTGTCACTGACTAAAAGCCACACCGAAGCTTTTGGTAACCACAGCACCAAATAGTGGTTGAAGGTGCCTCAGCAGTCGAAGCATTTAGCCATGTCCGCAGTGTTGGTGTCGGTCCACCCAATAGATGTGACCTTATTCAAAGGCTGCGACGGCCATCGCTTAATTGCCACGGGTCTTCGACATTGTACCGCTCATTATATTTCCTTGACGATAACAATTGAGAAGGGGGCCTGAGCCTTCGTCAGAGGGGACGCGGATCCTTACAGCTCCCCACCCCCCCCCATTCTATCTATGTGGCTCTCTGTACTCCAGACATCTCCGACCCGGGCGAGCTTAAAAAATCATCTCTTAATTCCATGCCCGAAACCCACCTCCCCCTTGTGGCTCAACCTTTGCCTCTCCTGCTCCCCTCTCGCAGTGCCTCTATCCCGCACACTCCCTCCTGGTTAACTGTGCTGTGTGGCAGCTGCACGGGAGGGGGGTTGTGTTCTGTCCTTCTCGTCCGTTGCACCCCGCCACCCCCCCTCCTTCACAAAGCTCTTTCCTAAACCACAACCACCAACACCACCCGGCGTCGCTTCCCCCACCCCCCCCCCCCGAAGCCATAACCACCCCCCATACTGACAGCATCAGCTCCCTCAGCTCATCTCCCTAATAACAATGATTCTGTGTGAAGCACGCCTTTGAGTGGATATAAAAATGAAAAAAAAAAAATCCAGCCCCTCGCGATCTGGCAAATTTAATTTTACGAGAGACTCTGCCATGTGGCCCATTAATCCTAAGCCTTGCCAAACGTCTTGCCAGCTGAAGCACTCTTCATATCGCGTCCGTCCATTCCATTCAATTTCCCAACTGGGCTTCTAACAGGCGTCCTATCAGCCTCCGAGAGAACGACAGAAATGAGCGTCAGTGAGCGAGCTCTGGGCGTCCATTCTGTACCGCAAAACTTTGACACACACCCTTCATGTCGCATACAACTTTCCATTCTGGCTTATTTACTGTGAAATTGCATTCCATGCGTGCACGTTGATAAGAATGTTTGTAACAACGATATGAAAACGAAAGTCCTTTAACGTCACGCACAAATGCATAGATACATGCGCACGCATTATCATTCTATTTATAATTTCACGTGGGGAGCCAACAATTGTGCCGATGTGGGATCTTAACGCATAGAAAACATGCAAAGTCGATGTGCCCAAGGCACTTTAGCTGTTAGTTATTGTGATTTTTACAATTACTGATCTCTTCCTGTGGGAAACATCTAATTAAGAAGAAATCACAGTAGGTGGTCATGTTGAATATAGCACTTTCTGCCGAGCCAAAATGGTCTGTGGCCAGGAAATGCATGGCCACTAGTGGGCCTGTCTGCCCAATGCTCACTGCATTCACTAAGAACGTTAAACAATTGTGATTTGACATTCAGATTAAGCCCTACCAGATAACTTAAAGTCAGGGGATATGCCGGGTAGGACTCTGTGACCCGAACCCTCTTCTGTAATCCTGTTGGTGACCTCGTTGTAGATTTTATAAACCGTACAAATGAAACACAACGCAAATAAAAAAATACAAAAAATACACAATTCAGTACAATTAAAAACTGCTTGAATTGCTGCATAACAATCATGGGGTGCCATGGTGGCACAGTTGTTAGCACCCTGTCCTATGAACAAAGACGCCCGAGTTCGATTTCCAGCCATGCCTAACATCAGTGCTGGCGAGTGATATCTCAATCGGTTCTTCCCGACAACCCCTCTTTCACCGACCCACATTGACCAGTGCGGTGAAGTATGAGGCTACAACAAAAAACACCGTCCATCACTGACACAGCATGGTTGAAGCCTTATTTAATCTACCATCGGGAGATTGAGACAGGCAAGAATGTATTCATTTCATTTCAAGCAGCATATCATCTGCATTTGTGAGTTGTCTCACGGAGGTGTTGGCGGGGCTGATGAGGCGGGGCAAAACAAGGACGCCGCAACCTACCATCATCGGTCACATTTTGAGGACGCAAAGCACCGCTAACTCTACTTGTCGCTACGATTTACCATCAGAGTTAAAGAAATGCCGGAGGTGCACCGCACACCCTTGCGAGGTTAGGACTTGTCTTCTTTCACCTCGCACTGATTGCCCTGAAGCAACCTGATGAAGACCACCACTCTCATGCCCTATTTGTTTTCTTTTCTAAATGTTATTCCAATTGTACTGTCGCAGAGGAGTGTGTCAACCTGTGTTAGAGAATGGCCCACGATTGGAGATATCACCAAGTTTCTTCTCAGATTCTTAATGTGACCTCTTTCTAATCCACGCTATCAGGTGCTGCATTTTTCTACTCGCCCTGCTACGCATAAATAGTCATCGCATGGCAGCCAAACCAATATTTTTGCATCAGTCCTGGTATTT